GTTTATTTACACACAAAAAGGTATGGAGTCGCAAAAGCAAGGGGCAACAAAATACGGCAGTGGGCTATCCGGCCAAAAGCTCACCAGCTCTATGCTGGACACACTGCCGCCAGCACCATCGGCATATAGGTTAAAAAAATCACGGCACTCCACTCTCAAGCCCACTCCAACGTAAAGAAAGAAGGGACAACAATGTTTTTGGTCAAGCTTTGGCGGGACATACACATCTCGTTCCATACTGCCATCTAGTGGCCAAGGTACTAGGTGACATTAAACTCCAGCAGGTTACTTTTACATAACATCACCAAAATTAAACGGTGTTACATTAACAGGAAAACCATAAACGCTGAATGACAATTTAAATGTTGAAAACGTTTAGGGGACCTTTCACCATTTGTGGAAAACAATTTAGTTATTTATCTCCGCTTAGTACATGTTTACCACCCGGCTGAATATATAAATAATTACTGTATTTATAGTTAAGAGCAGGGATAATGTTCTCACCAGTGTTTGATGGTTTGTTTAACAATGTAACTCAAAAAGCATTGAATTGATTTAGATGAAATTTTTGGAGAACAGTTGCCCATTCATTGTGTATAGAAACCAGGTGCCTGCACTCAGCACAACCTGCTGTGTGAGCCCAGTGAGGCGACAGCTCACAGCCGGGGAAAGTTCTACTCTATGCAGCAACAGCTGGGTGAGAGCCACTCGGGACTGTCTTGACCCCAGATGATGAGGGCATGAATGTGGAGTCAAGTGCAAAGGTATTTATAATCTTCATCCTTAGGACTGCTATTATGCCACTTTATGAAGTGATTCATTGCTGTATTTATGAGGTCAGCTATTACACCACATGGACCGAACGGTGTTCTGGTTGTACATGATGCCGTGTTCAGCCTTCCCACATGCATGGATTCAGTCTTGTCTGTGCTAACCTTCATCATCACAAGTCCACACACACACACACACACACACACACCCTCTCTCATAAGAGTTCACACACTGCTATCTATGATTAATTCACCATCCCATTCCTCTGCTCCAACTGGACATGTTTAGAAGATTAATTATGAATGTGAGGGTGTATTTTATTTTGTTATTTTCAAATAAAACATACAAACAGAAATAAGTCACAGCTACTGTATAAGTGACCTTTCCTTATGCCCTAAATGTCAATGAGAATTTTTGTGCTACATTTTTGAAATATATCTTTTCAAACAAAACATCTATGGTCAAACCTCGCAAATGCTGTTTATTCAGAAAGACATATAAACTAAGGAAGTAAAACACACAGAAGGAAATCACTGCATAAAGCTATTGAGCAATGAAATCACTTCCACATGAACTGTTTTTAATGATTAAGATCTTTTATATCTTTTGACTTAGAAGTCAAGATGTTTGATGCAGTATAGCTCTGTAGCCCACTCTGTTAGAGACATCTGAGCTTGTCAAACACTGTAACGCACCAAAGACCGAACACACAGAGCTGAAACTGGACTCAAAAGCAGATCAAAAAGCTTTTCTGGCAATAAGTTGGGATGCTGAGAGTTTTACCCTCCAGCATGGGACCATTTCATTTCTAAACTTGTTTGACATCTGGTGAGTGAGTTTTTCCATCAGACACAAAATGTGTAGTACAAACTTGAATTTGCATTTCAAATGCAAATGTTTTAATATGTAACCCATGAGGCAAATCTGCTTTCTTTCACATGTAAAATATAAAAAATATTAAAAAAAAAACTGCATTCAACCAAACACCCTATTAATTAAAGTCTCGTTTTGTTAATTATATTTTTAAAAAGTGGCTCTATTATAGTCATGTCAATGAAATTCTGGAAACCACAGATGGAATGTGATGCTATTGCCACATCTGTTGTTTTTCTGTTGCATTTCTTGAAACTTCATTTAAATGTATTTAAAACTTAACTCAGTCTGTTTAGTATGCAGCTAAAGGTGCAACATTTGGAATTTATCTGAAAATATCTGAAAGATACTCTATATTAAATTCAGATTGCTGTGTAAAAAGTTCTGCTTGTACAAGTTCTGTCCTGTTGTTTGACTCTGATGTAAAAACTCTGGTTTTAATATTTTAAATACACAAAAACTAACCACAGGTTTTCCTAATGATATTTAAAATAGCACTTCCTGTGCTTTGATTAATGTAAAGCTCAAATTCAGACTCAGAATCAAAATTACACTTATTTGGCCAAGTATGTTTAAACACACATGGAATTTGTGTCCATGTGCTTGCACATCAGCAAGAAAAATAGGAAATATGCATTTAAAATAGGAGAGAGAGCATGAAAAGGAAAAACAATCTATTTACAATATATATGTATATACGCACACTGTGGTAGCAGTGTTATGTACATAGTTAGATTTACAGTTGTCTTGGTGTACAGTGGCCTGTACCACCATCCAGAGGGGAGAGGTTCAAACAATTTGTGTACAGGATGTGAGGGATCTGCAGAAAACTTCTCCGCCCTCTTCCTGACCCATGAGGTGTGCAGGTCCTCTATGGAGGGCCGGCTGGCACCGATGATTCTTTCTGCAGTCCTGACTGTCCACTGAAGTCTGTTCCTGTCCTGTTTGGTTGCTGAGCCAAACCAGACAGTGATGGAGGTGCAGAGAACTATATCAGCAGCGCCTGGGGCAGGTTGAACTTCCTGAGCTGGCACAGGAAGTACATCCTCTGCTGTGCCTTGTTGGTGATGGTGCTAATGTTAAATCCACTTCAGGTCCTGGGAAATATTGGAGTCCAGGAACTTGAAGTCCACTGTCATCTCCTCTGTTCTGAGCGTATTCAGCTCAAGGCTGTTGCAACCACACCGCAGGGCCAGCTGTTCAACCTGTCATCTGTACGCAGACTTGTTACCATCACAGATGTCATTTTTGCTAACTTAAGGAGCCTAACAGATGGGTCACCTGAGGTGTAGTCATTGGTGTAGAGGGAGAAAAGCAGCGGGGAGAGCACACATCCCTGGGGGACACCAGTGCTGATTGCCTGGGTGCTGGATATGATTTTCCCCAGCCTCACCTGCTGCGTCCTGTCAAAAAGCTGGCTGACCATTTGCAGATGAGGTCAAGCACAGTAAGCTGTTGCATGTTTATTTCAGTCTATAACTGTACAACAAGAAGATTATGGTCAGGTTTTAGAGGTGACAGTTTGAAAGAGACTGCAATCTTGTTGAAGTTGTTGAAGGACTGACACTTTATGGCACTCAGAGAGAATTTCTGGCAAAAAAAGCACAGACAATAAGAGCTGTGTAATAATGTCACACCCACAAGCAAAGACTTGCCCTGTAGCAAGGACTCTCTCATCTTTACCAGGTGAGATACAATAATCCTATGGAGGGTATATTCATCACACTGAGCAAGACGAGACTTCACTCCGTCTCCATCATGGTAACTTCAGTCCTACCCCTTTTTCTGGCAGCGAGAGACACTATTCAAGTTTTAAGCTAACTCCGCTCTTGAAAAGGGATCTAACATTGCTTCGTGAGGTGCAAGACACATGGATTTGCACAGGGATTTGTGATGAGCCCAGCACACACTAACGCTACAGTGCAGGAGCTTTATACAGGACATTTTACATTTGAACTGTCAGGTCAAAACATATTTCTTATGACATCAGCTCTTAGGAACAGTATGGAAATTCAAGTCATATGAAGCTCTACAATAAGCAAGGCTTCATCTTGGCAGTGAGTTTTATGTTTAGCGACCACTACTTTTAATGCAGTGACAGCAGCAATATAATGAGTCCTGAAGATTGCTGATTCCTCCTTATGCGCCCCTCAGTGGAAATCACCAAAAGTCTAGCTGCTCGTTATCCACGTGGCTGGATATAAAATTCTCAGTGTTGATATGAGTTTTAGCGGTGTTTGAAAATACCCAGACATGCATATGCATGCACACACACACAAATAGACCTCACTCCTCTACCCACTCTTTTCCATCTTATATATTTCCAGCATGACTGAGCTTACCACATTCCCCTACAGAGCCGTTCTCCAAACTTGCCGAGTGCTTGAGCAAACACTGTGTACTGGGCCAATTAAAACTCCTGTGGTGTGGGCGAGTGGGTATGGCAGCATGGGATGGATAGATGGGGCATAACAGCCCATTTGGGTAATGACCATCTTTTCCTTTCCCCTCCCTTTCTCCCCTCTTTTGTATTTGCGCCTCTCCCCTCTGCCTCATTCCTTTATCTCCCTCTCTTCATGTTGATTGTCTGTCACTCCCTCAGTGCTCCTGGGAGCAGCTAATTGCACCTCTTGCACTCACCCGCTTCCCCCTTGTGTGATAGGATGCCGATCGTGGTGGGTATTCACTTTAAGCAATCAATGGCACAAGTTGCTAAACAGCTTGGCACACAGCTGACTGCCCGGGTGGAGGCTGCGATCCATGAGGTGCACTTTCGCCACCATCTTGTTTATGCATTTCAAAGGTGTTTTAGCACACGCATCACTTTCCACGTACAAATTGAAGTTGTTAGGCAAGAAGCATGCTTTAAAACTATTCCATCCCTGGAGGTAATGAAAATCTCTAAACGGAACAGGTTTAAATAAACTGATAGTATGAATCGAAGCCACATGAACCCAAGAGGATAAACAAATATGCATTTTTCACTGGTATAAAAAGGATGCCGTGTTGTCACGTGTCACTGTCAGGTGTCAACACAGACCCAAATGACACTGGTGCTGTGTGCTTCAGAATAAACAGTAAGTCGGCATAAAGGGGTAACGACAGAATGTGACAAATTATCACTCACAACTTGTCAGTCATCTACACCCAGGGGTTGTTTGTTGTGACACAAATAGCACCAGTAAACTTAGACACAAGGAGATCTGACATTTGTAAACGTTTGAGTTGCGTCCCCAGTCTGCAAGGAGCTGTTTTTATTCAGCTGCCTGCTCCACCAGATCTTTGTGCACTAAAAAGAAATGGTGGAATACTCTCTCACAGGATTGATGCCACATCTCACACAAAAGGATGCGGATTGATGATAATGATGCCTCATTATCATTTATTCACTCTCGCATTTGCAGGTACGTTCAACTGCATGAAAACAAACAGTGCTGATAATTACATTCACAATTACAAAAGTGTATTCTATTTGTACCCATAGTCTTTATTTTGGCAAAACGTCTGCTTCGAGACTCCTCCTGGCGCATCACTGAAACAAAAAAGATCTTTTTGGAGTTAAAAGCTGTCACAAGTGATCTGCTAATGTGATTACATTGTAATACCCCTGAGCACTGAATGTAAATGGAAACGAAGGAGGCAGCAAGGAGATGAGGAGGAAGAGTTTTTTAAATGTGGGATCATGTTTGGCAAAAAGCTTTGACATGGCAAAAAAAGTAGGGTGAAAACCGTCTTTCACCATTAAGTAACTAGCTAAAATTTTTACTTGTTTTAAATGAAAATGATTATAGCAAAGATATGCTCCTCTACCTTGTTTCCTGTTCTTTCCAACTGTTACCCTACCCTATAAGCTGACATTATCAATGCCAAATTATGCTTTATGCCGGTTTAAATATAACCAAGTAGAACATTTCTATTTCAAAATCATATTTTCAGAATGATATTCAGCTCTATTCATGTCTGCTAACAAGAGGTGTATGGTAGATAAACTAGGTGGGGGCTGATGTGCTCTTCAGTTATACCCTGCTGCGTTCTCTCCCCACCACACATGATCACTTCACTGGCTGCTTCCTTTTGACCATAGCATGGAGCTCAGTTTATTTATATTTACATGCCAAGTTCCAGATGAGGTCATAATATATTTTTACTCATCTGTCCTTGGCCATATCCTTTGTTGTTAAAGCCAAGTCAAAACAGTGTTCTTGAATTATGAACTTGACAAAATGTGATCAGAAACTATGATCTGTTCAGTCACATTGAAAAAAAGAAAAAGTATTATGGACAGATCAAATGTTTAGTATCTAATTATTTAAGTTTGATCTAAAAACAGACATAAGCGTATTCATGTGGTGAGTTTTTTTGTATCATGTCACATGCACTTAAGTTTACTTTACATTTACCTGGAGCATAACTAGGAAGTTGGATATAATCAAGATGTGTTCACATGATCCATGTGTATGGACTGCTGATCACAAGCTGATAAGGCCAGTCATTTTCTATAATAATAGTATTTTCAGCGATCTCCATACAGAGACTAAAATTGAATTGCCGCTGCTCACAGTTAATGTCTGACAAATTTCTGTCGTTATTCAAAAATGATTAAAAACACACCGCGGCACTGGGTGGCACGTTTTATCATTACAAAACCCCAGACCCCACTATGTTGGCGAGACATAATTTCCTGACGTTAGCATGAGTCAGAGTCATCAGCACATGCATGAGATCTTGCACAAGCTCTCTGCTTTGTTCACACCCCACGAGCTCGTCATGCTTGGGTCTGGGGTTTGCTAATGGAGAAATATTACCCGGTGCAGCAGTGTGTTTCACTGATATGTTTTTAACAACAACGGAGGTCTGTGGCAAAGATAAATAAACTAATCCAGCACTGATGGATATTAACTGTGACTAGAAGCAATTCATTGTACAGTACAGTTTTATTATGTCAGAAATGATAGTTACCAAAAGAAAACTGGAATGTGCCGCTGAATGTAGCCTATACTGCACAGTGCTGTAAACAATTACTGCTGTTATTGTTGTGGTTGCAATGATTACAGGTTCCTGTGTGTCTGAAGAGGAACACCAACTTCATTTCACCTGCTTCAACCTTTATGGCAATGTGTTTTGTAGCTTCCCACTGATAAATGTCTAGTATGGGTTGTTGGATGTTTCACTAAAACAATAAATTCATCAACTCAGCCTCTCAAAATGCCCTTGACTATTAATGAGCAGAACAGCAAAATGCATGTAACTGCTCTCTGTGCCACAGTAAACTCAGCTAAACAGGCAACCTTGTGAGGGTTTGCTGACATAGAAATTCATATCCTTTGTAACACGTACAAGTTGTGAATATACATTGGCTTCTTGAGGACACTTTAGTTTTAGCCTGGCCAGCTTCACACTACTGACAAACTGCACTGATAGAAGATATTTCTGGGAAATCATATACAGTAATAATACAAAATCAAATTATAACTTCAGGACTTTTCTTTACCAGGTATTCATAGAAGACTATCATACACTGTATGTCCAATATTGTCAACATGTCACTAGAGTGAGTGTGAAGGCAGGTGATTCAGGCCAGATGTAATTTCTAGCCACTCAGTCCTCTCTTGTTAATTAGATAATGCTTCACTTCTGCTGGCATCACACACTTGATGAACGCAGTCCTGGGAGATTACTTCTCCGGAGCAGCTGACAGGCTGGATTACCTAGACAAATTAATGGCTCTATAATTTGATTTTCCCGGGATTGTGATGTCTAAGCGACTCCAGCAGAGAGGAACGGTCTGAATCAGCCCTGCTGCACTGTGGCATTAGCTAATCACATCTGCATGCTAAAAAGGGCGATGGGAAAAATCGAAAGACTCCACAGATGTAGGAAATGGGAACAATTTTCTCCAAGAGCTGATCTGTAGGAGAAGCAGTGGGATTCTTTCCTCGCAGGTAAAACCAAACAAAGTCTGCACTGAAGGATGTAAGAAGACAAGGTAGGAGATAAATCTGTTACAAATAGAAGCAGCACAGTGCACTCTGGGTGGCCACTCATACCTGTCAGAGCACCTGTTACACCTGAGATCAGCATCTAAACACTTGTCAGGCATTTCTGTCAATTACCATCATTTCCATTAAAAGGCTGTATATGTTGCAAAACACTGCCCTGTGGTACTAAACTGAAGTATTTCACCGTGCATTACAGTTACATGGTTCACAGCACTGTAATGTATCAATTTCACAAAATAAAAGCCTGAGTTTCAAAAAATAAAAAGCCACATATCTGTACCGTATATGAGCAGCACTGTTGTACAGACTATTGTCAGGTTGTGGAAACAATGACAATACTAGGCCTAATGAGCCTCTCACATTTCAACAAGTAAACTGCTGCTGCGGAACAGTAGTGAGCTCAGGCAGCCGCTCCCAATTCATTCTCGGGGGTAATTCTCTCTGAATGAAAGTTTTGCAATTTACTTGCAAATAATGTGTCTTCTCAAAAGCCTAATTCAGGTCTTTGTATGTGTGGAGTGTGTTCTCTATGACTGATAGTTGTGCTCTACAGTAAGTGACTGACACTGAGTGACAGACAATCAGGGAGGCGGCTCTGCCTGTCCAGGAACTCCCATCTGTGCTGACAGTGCAGATTTGATCGGCTCCTGCACAGGGATGGTTTGCACTCCACCCACGCACCAATACACTCAGAGACGATGGCATATCAAATGCCTAAAACCAGCCAGCCTTGCAAAATGTTTATGCTTCTTATGTAATAACAGCAGTATCTTGTGTAAGCATTTAGTACGGCCATTCTTACTGGAGTGTGCAAAAAGCCTCAATTCCCATGGCAACGCAAAAGATGATTTGAAAGTGAGAGGTTATATTCATCTGTGTGAGCATGGCACTGTTAAGTGTTATTATGTAAGTTTAAAATTGTCAGAGTTTCATACAAGCACAGGCCCATCAGGGGATAGATTCCAAAATTCATGTAGCTGTTCTTTGTTCCTCTTTGGCTCATGCGTATTCACAACTAATTAAATACAAATAACTTCATTTAGTATTATCCTTCATGCGTGCATACATTAAAAAATGACTCATCTGGCATTATTATTTTTCCAAATTAATAGTGGTGTGCTGCTCTATGATAACTGTTTACACATGTATTTTGGGTTTAATTTTATTAGACTAGCTGTAAACTAATGCACTTTTCAACTTTTATTCACCAACTAGCCAAACATTATTTCATTGACTTTCATTGACCAAGGTCTTGTATCCCCCACCAGCTATGTAATAACCTTTGCAGGCACTTCAACAGCAGCATGTTGTCTGTTTTCTCTGTCAGTGGGACAGCCAGTATCAGTGGGAAAAAAGTCAGATCTTATCCTCGAGACCTCCATCGCTCAGTGATCAGTGAACCTCCTCATCCTGGCATGCAGCGTGCTCTGGGGAGACCTCTGGAGACATTCTGCCTCTCCAGTGGTTCATAAGACTGAATTGTTGCCATTTGATCCCTGTATACTCCCTGAGGCACAAAACGGCTCTGGCATTTGCAGACAAGGTAACCAGGAGGAGTGTGTACATCGTAGTAAAGAGGGTCTGGATGTCATAACAGAGCAGGGACACCACTACAAACCTCACTAAAAACTCCAGACCCAACAGAGAAGAAGAGAAGACAGTGCAGCTGAAGCTGCATCCAGAGCTTCAGGGGGCCTGAAAGGAAAGAATGTCAATCATGAGCTTTGGAAAATGCTAGAAAGGCAGTTTTAAAAGTAGCTACATAGCGCTTTGAAAACAATACAACATTAATGGTACAACTGCTTTTTGACCTGTAACTGCTATAGATCAGGTTTGAGAAGAATGACTTAGTTAAGGTTAGGGAACATATTCATTTTGGTAAGGAATGGGAATCCAACAGCAGCTTCCCATGTGTACCCACCCCAACCTTTTCCCCTCCGAGTTTTGTGAGGTAACATCCTCCTTTGCTTGTTTTTCCTATCAGGTAAACACACAATACAATTTCAATAAAATTGCACAAGTTTTGTAAAAACATGTTTTCACTTTGTCCTTTGTATCGTTGAATGTAGATCGTTGGGCAAAAAAAACTCCAGAAAATAAATTCTAAAGACAACCAAGTGGCAGGGTCTGAATAATACTGGTTTTGCTTCCAATACTTACTCCAGTACTTAATTATAATTTGGAATAGAGAACAACTCACATTCTTAGCATGAATAGGATACAGTAAAAATGGCCCTTTCTTCAGTCACATATACATTTTTCCACTTCTAATTTTCCTATCAGCTTACAAGCTACAGTAAAAGGCAACTCCCACCTGGTCCACATTATTCTTATCAAGTAAGCTGAAATTATCACTCTTTCTCTCCTGTCTACATGGGAGTAACTGATCAACTAGTACGGTCTTTATGTACCCAGTTAGCTGCCATATGCTGCCTCTGTAAACATACAACTGCCATCTTTCACATTAACACTGGCATTTAGACTCCACCTGCTGTGATGGCTGGTGGGTTATGTTGCTTGTTATGTGCCTCAAATTCAGATTCATCACACACTGTTTACATCTGTAAACTGCTCCCTATTGACTGAGCTGAGACAGCTTAGGAACTTGGTGTACTGGTGCATTAAAACTAGCAGCCCAACTGTACTATCACAACAAGCACAGAACACTACACACTGAACCTGAGGAATATGCGTTTTATAAGCTCTCAAAGGTAAAAGACACCGCTGACGAAAACATGCATCTTGGTTGGTCTCACAAGCAATAAAATGCTTCTTAAGACATAATCCTTGAAAAGTAAAGTCTCTCAGTTTCAAGTCAGCAGAAAAAAAAAAAAAAATTATCAATCTCAGACGCTGGCAGACATCATATTGAGGTGATGCTACATGTCCCTCTTTGGCTGAGTTTATAGCTGAAGTACTGGCAGACTCAGTATCACCACAATTAGAAAACCCAACAACTCTTTAACATTTATATTACCGGTACTAAACAACATTAGCAACACCCTCACTTTGAATCTTTACCCCAGAAGTACGGAGTTAGTACCGACAGTAGAAACTCCAACAGTTTATATCAAAAAATGAGAAAAGAAATACCAAAAGAACATATTATTCTTGCTAAGCTTCCAGGGAAATTGGTCTGTCCAAAATGCATTACTGCATCACCTTACTGAAAGTAGCGTGATGAATATCTTTCCAATATGTGAAGGAAGAGAGAATTTCTATTAGCAAGCTGTTAGATAACATAGAAGAAGAAAAAAAACTCATCTAGCTAGCCGAGGGGAGCTCCAGTCTCTTCTGCTCTCTCTCTCCTCTGAGGTGTACTGTTCAATCAGCCTCCATTAGTAAATTAGACGTTACCTTCTCAGACTTGATCGATAAATGATCTCATAACAACATGTTAGACCCTGATTTGCATTACTGGCCCCGACAGCATGTAACAAACTAATTATTTCTGAAGGACCCCTCGCTCTGCTTGTGACAATTTGGGAAATGGAGCGGAGACATGTCTGACTTGTCAACACCCACAGAGCTAACACACAGAAATCAAAAGCAATGCCAGTCACATTACACAGGAAAGGCAAAGGCGCCAATACTGAAATAAAGACGTCTTCGTTGGAACACGTCATCCTATATTTTTTCTCTCTACTTAATCTGTTTTATTGGCTTAATAAAAATAGAATATAAAAGAGCATTTTGAAATTTTATTTCCTTTCATCTTTTTATTACGTAGACCTATTAATTTCACTGAAGTGTTACTTCTAATATGCTTCACTGAATATCTGGCATGACTTAATTTCTCCTCTATGCTGCTCCTCAGTCATAGCTAGACCATATACACAGGGTGTTTCTGAGGTTGGTCTGCTATGTGCCTTTGTTGATATAAAGCTGAATTCAGAAAATGACAGCTGTTGAAATGTAATTTAGGGTAAGGTAATGGCCCGTATCAGTAGAAACTGTGTGAATCTGTGAAATCGAAAAGGAAAAAATAAGGTACCATGGCAACAGTTAACATGTTGTTGCTTATGAATAATGACATGGCTGTCTGGACCAATCAGTAACAAATGTGTCACCTTTACATGTGTCAGCCCATTAAATATAAACTGTGTAGTTTCTTTTTTTTTTTATATAGCATGTCACTAGGAAGTGGAACTTTGTAAGGGACCTTGAGATACAGTAGCCAATTCATCACAGTGAAGAGTTTACTGCCATAATTTTGTTCTCAATGTTATCATTAGTTTGTGCGGTTGTGCAGTTTCAAGTACAGTTTTCAAGGATTATCTGACATCCAAGATCAGACAGTCAGCTACTGAAAAGCACTACACTAATAAGCTAATGGACCGTATGTTAGAGGAAAATCTAATTCAGAGGACAAACAAGCAGATTCATAATATACATGAAAAAAAGCATAAGCAAATTTGGTAGGCTACACCACCATATAAAAGGTCAAATATCAGCTCTGTGACATGTTATGAATCATGTCAAAAAGGAATTAATTCAAGAGATATTTTGAGGTTTTTCTTCATCAAACAAAAGCAGAAATGCACATGGAAAATTACTACATAAAACCACAAGGCACTCATCTTGCACTAGGCTATAGTTAAGAAAAACTCCAATGATTTTACACATCAAACTTCAGGTCTTAAGGAGTAAAATGTGGAAAAAGTTGCACGAGCTGTATGAAAGTTGTTAAGATGACTCAAGTGATGTTACGCCAGTTGGAGCTGAGGACCACAAGTTTGAAAATTTGGGCGGTGTGGAGTTATAAAACTGTGAACTTTCCAGACTTTAGTCCACTTCTCATCTCTGCTCGAGGCTCAAGACTCAAGACTACACTAACACAACACACTCAAAACTCCAACCAAACTTGTGGGTAATGTAGAGCAGGAAAGGAAGAAATTATATATGTATAGAATGAAATCAGTGAGGACTAAGACAGTTAATCAATTAGTTGATCAACAAAAATATAATTTGCAACAATGTTGATAATCACTGATAATAAAACAGTGAAAAAATGTCATTAGTTGACAATGTGATGGGGTAAAATACTAGTGGTGCAACAACTGGTCTAGAAACAGAATTATATACTGTACTGTGTACATGACAATAGGTCATAGTCGCTGTCACTTCTCATACTCTCTGCATTGACCCTAAATTTTAAACTGTTGTTTGCAGAAATTGATCGATTTGACTATGTCTACAGGGCTCTAGGAAATCAGGTAATGGCCATTTTCCAGAAGTTTATTGACGAGTTTATTGACAAAATTAACTGATGAAGTGAATAATCAGGAGAATGTTCGATAAGGACAATACTGATTAGCTGTTGCCTGTATTCTGACTGAATACAGGAAAGACTTATACCAGATGATATGGTAGAACTGAGAATTATTTAAAATCTGTGATGGCTCATGCTTCTTGCACTAATGGACTTGAACCTGGTTCAATTCAGGGATAACTGCCATGACTCATTATTAGTAAGTACAGTAAAGGCACTGTTCCTCTCAAGGGAACCTCTCAGGTTCTTTGGCATCTCCCAGTTGTAGTTACATTTGAACATTGACATTTGACACAACAAAAGAAACTTAAAAAAATTTAAAAACTCTCAAGGGCTACATCTCTAAGATACACCTGCACCCCCTCCAGCTCTTACATCGTATTACATCTGTACAGTAGGGTCAATGGCAATAATGACAAACATCCTTGGATCCAGGGGCTGGGTGTGCATCTAGAATGCATTACTGTCGGGTGGATAGTGACAGCTTAGGAAGCAAGGAGACTGACATAAAGGAAGTGTGAGAACAGGACTGTATTGCAACGTCTGGCAGAAAAACCCACTCCCACATAATTGTAGCTTTGAACCCTTTTTTTTTCCTCCTCAGAGGTTGAAGAAGGTGGGGAGAGCACAATATTACAGGGAGAGAAAAGAAAACCTGTAAGCTAAAGATATAAAGTGCCTGTCCTTAAAAAGTCAGAGTGGGAGAAGGACACATAAGATGGAGACAGAGCTAAGGAGGGGACAGAGGAAGGGATTAAAAATGAGAGGTAAACTTAAAATGCCAGAGAGTCTGAGGCAGAAAGTGAGAATGTGGCAATGGCTGGTCAAGGAAAGGCAGCTTTGGTTCCCATAAAGTGACATTACTGCAGGCTCATAACGCAGGGAAGCTGCTGCCTCCACAGATATGAGCAGTGGCTTTGGTACATGAATTATTCAGTTAGCAAAAAGCGCATCGGGATCCACAGATACCTTGGCATACGGATTGGCCCTCGCCAAGGCCCCAGGAGACATAACGCAGCAGGAAAGAGCACAAGTTAATCTATATTGCCATAAGATCTGACCTTACAGACCCATGAAATTGGTACTAGTAGAAGCTGATGCATTGTTGGAGAACACCATCTATCTTTGTACCACTTTTTATTGCACTCTATATTGAATCTGGACCTTATTAGGCAATGCAAAATGTGCATCATGTTTTACAAGAGGTTTGTTAGCATGGAAATTCATGCAAAGCCCCACAGTGGGACACAATCTCTTATTAATCCAGTCAGGAGAGAGTTAATGTGCAAGTTCCTTGGCATGCATTAGATAGCGGCTGTACTAATGGGAGACTGGCTGCTAGGAACTTGGCCGACAGGGATTAAATAGAGAAGTGATCACAGGGAAGACTTCATCAGAAATGCTGAGGCACCAGCCAGCTCAT